AAATAAAATAAAATAAAATAAAAAAAGTTCCAATGAATCATATTCCTACCTCCTCTAAAATAGTAATAATAAAAGTATTATCTGTTTCAAATTTTACTATGAGAATTTGTCAAAGAGCTAATTTGATACAAAGTTTAGAGAGCTAGATATTATTAGTAGACGCTGACTGGTGTATACCATAAAAGCTTATTATCCCTAAACTCTACTAGACTGAATTTAAATGCTTTACTAAATATATTTGGTAAACAATCTTTATGGTATAATACTGAGATTGCTAGTTAGTCATGCTCATAAGGATTAGGCACACATTTTCATCTTAAATCTTTTTTAGAATGTTGAAAAAGTAAAATTCCTGTTCTTTGTATCAATGATCACAAGTCCATCCAGTAATAGCTCTCTCATATTTAAATATAGCCCTGTGTTATCAAGTGCCAAGACAAAACAAAAGTATTAGTTTAAAAGAATCACCTTTTGTATTCTGAGCTGCAAGTTACTGGTGGAAAATCAAATGAATGGCTTCAGTATAAATAAAGCAGCAATAAATCAGGAGACCAAATTACCACACCACAAAAAAATAAAACAAATGCCAAGCCATTTCACTTTATAACAGCAATATTAAGTAAAATTACAGTTTGGTTTTACAGCAATCTGTTAAAAATGAAATACTCAGTAACATGTGAATAAAAGGATATTGATAGGTGAAGCAATTATATACCTCTTTGGCGAGATACGACAATACCGACTCTGTCTCATTCAGAAGTGCAACACTGCATTTTCCCCTATGGAAGCAGAAAAAAAGAAAGTGTTTATGTCTAGAAATATCTTCTTGCAAAGTAAAGGGCAACAAATCTGTCAACCAAGTTCAGAGTTTGAAAAGTTCAGTTACTGCATATCTTATCATTTCTACAAACATACAGCCTTCAGGAGAACTCTGCAGAATTAGTCCAAAGACCATTTTACTCTAGTTTCTAATTTCCACAGTGGCTATGTGGATGCTGACAGGAAACTAACAAGGTCTTAATGCAAAGAGTTTTCCTCCTTGCATTTTTTAATTCAAGCTAACTTGATTTTCTCTGTGGAAATAATATTCAGCCATTGTGACCAGTAAATTTTAATGATATTAAATGTATTACCTTACAACTAGCTTAAATATAAGAGATCAACAAATGAAAAGAAAGAAGGAAGAAAATAAGACATTCAGTTCTTGGACAAGTTCACAATTCTCATACCAGGACTAGCAACCTGAGTGAATCCATAACCATCTCTGTAATGAGAGTGAATAGCTTGAGGGAGGAGGGAGTAACTATTGAGCTGAAAAGACAGCTTGTATCTCTGTCCTAACCTACAATGACATAAATCTTTTANTAGCAGTATATTTCCTCCTCCTATTTTCCCAACAACCCGGGACTGATCCAGAATCATCCTGCTGGCTTTACACAAAGCAGCTGCATCTCCTTCACTTTTTCTTTTTGTTATTATTCCTATTATTTATTTATTTATTTTTGTTTTATTTCTTTTATTTGTTCTTATTTCTTTTTTAAAATATTTCTCTTTGTACCCAAGTAATAAAAGAAAAGAAAAAAACAATAAAAATTGAGAAATAACATCTTTAGTATTTTCCTAAGTTAAAGAGCAAAAAAAAGCAGAGGAATTGTAATGATGCCAAGGAGAAAAACAATAAGAGAGTAATTAAAAATAGAAAAATAATTAACTGTTGTTCTAGTGTCTCATTTGTAAGAGGAATTTGACAATGAATATCCTCAGTCGTAGTGTGACATTCCAAACATACATCAAGCATTTTTCTCATTATTTATTCATGCAGAAATCTTCAGGTGGCCCAAACTATCCATTTGGAAGACAGTTGTAGCAGTCTGCCAGGAACCAATCATTTCTCAGACCGTTTTTCTTGGTTCCTCACTGGATCTGCAAAACCCTTATTTGTCAATCCCTCTTTTCAAATTCACCATGAACAACTATATAGTTATAACTCTTTACACTCTTAAGACAGTAGAATGACAGAATATAAAGGCTGGAAGGGATTTTGAAGAATTGTTTTGAACATCTGGACGTATCACAACTTTTTCCCCCCTTCGCCAAACCGGGCGTCGGCAGCGCATGACATCCAGCCCGTGGAGCGTGAGACAGCCCTGATCTAGACCAACTCTCTGCCAGGTTTAGGGATATATTATTCCAGTAACCCTAATATATGGCTATGCAGACATTATTAAACACCTCCATCTCCAGATGGCCACTATCTAAATTAGAGAAAAAAAATAGAATTTTTAAGGAATCCAATAATTACTTCTAGTAGATTAAACAGCTAAACATTAATGTGTGTTATCTGGGCTTGGGGAAAAAATTGGGAGTTGCCAGGGGAGGGGGGGGACTGCATGACTTTTACTGGTCTAGAATTCTGTCATTAACACAGATTAGGCACTCAATACTGTTGATACATGCATTTATTAGTCTTTAATTCTGGTTTAAAAAGCAAATTAGAACTCAAATTACTATTACTGTGTATTAGGACAACACAATAATTTTGAAAGAACTGCTACATAATGAGGTATGTGAATAAGACCTCTTATTCAATCATCAAAGCAGACATATTCTTTGTAAGGCTCATGGAGCTGGTTGGAAAGCTACTCCTACTTATTTTGGTATGTGTGTACATGCACAACCACTTCATGTTTTCACCGAGAATAATGTATCTGCAGCCTATTCACTTTGCTTTTGTCCTATTGCAATGGCTGTGTGTATAAATGCCTGTACAAATAGTCACACATGGTTTCTGAAGTAACTGATCAAATGATGCAATGGCTTTAACCATTCAAACAATGGTGATTTGTTCATGTTCCCATACATTACAAATATCTCTTCTGAATACTTTGTACAGTTCAACTGGATATATCCATACTAATTGTGCATATCTTTTCACTATATACCATAAACATAGAGAGATATGAAATTATTTACTACAGGAAAAAAAGTAAACATAACAATTCTTTTTTAATATTCCTGGCAAAATCATCATCATTCTGTAAATTCTAATTCTCTTTAAATAAATCAAAGAATATTTTTAAGCAATTAACCAGTACAACTCATCACCTGCTAAGATTAGTTAATAAAGCAAATAGCAAGAGTTGGGTTGAATATTTTACATCCATTGTATATAAATGCAAAATCCTCAACAATATATCATCAACAAATCATGGCAGGATTTAATTTATCTCTTTAGCGAATTATTCTTTCAAAGGAAGTATATTTCAAAGATTATCTCACCAAAGTGATATCCCGCGAAGCAGCAGCTGCACTCATGTGTAAACTAGGTTGTCTTACAGAACTACTGCAGTCTAGAGCTCGTGCAAAAGTACCAACAGCACTGAAGGAAGAGGAGAAACAACATTATGAGAACAATGAAACTGAGATAATTTTAAAACACTGTGACAGAAATTAAGATTAAGATTTAATAAATTTTTATGCCGCCCAATCCCGAAGGACTCTGGGCGGCTTACATAAAAAACAATTTAAAAATACTAAAAATTTAGAATACAAAAACAAAGCAAGTGAAAAGAACACAACATGCACTCAGTTCTTAGTGGGGCTGGAACTCAATCAAGGATCAGCAGGCCTGCCGGAACAACCAGGTCTTAGTGGACTTTCGGAAGGCTGAGAGAGTAGGGAGGGTCCGGATCTCAGTGGGTAGATCGTTCCATAGGGCCGGGGCAGCTACAGAGAAGGCTCTCCCCCGAGGAGCCGCCAGTTGACATTGTGTAGTCGACGGCACCCGGAGAAGGCCCATCCTGTGAGATCTTATTGGACGCTGGGAGGTATGTGGCAGGAGGCAGTCATGGAGATATCCAGGTCCTAGGCCATGTAGGGCTTTAAAGGTGAAATGCACCCTTTCACCCTCTAATATATGTCATTGTTGATTAGCATGCACATTC